ATGATGGTACATCGTAAATACCAACGGCATTCGTAAATACCAACGGCATTCGTAAATACCAACGGCATTCGTAAATACCAACGGCATTCGTAAATACCAACGGCATTCGTAAATACCAACGGCATTCGTAAATACCAACGGCATTCGTAAATACCAACATACCAAACATGGGAATTTTGACAGTCTTTTGACAGTGCTTTTGTATACAATTTTGTAAACCTCATTTGAGATAAAAGATGTTCATGCATATTTTAGTTTATTCTTTAAATGTTGTTGAAATATGTAAATCAAGTAAAGCACAGAAACAACTCCCGTGTGCTGAGACAATTGGAGCACAGAAGCAACTCCCGTGTGCTGAGACAATTGGAGCACAGAAACAACTCCCGTGTGCTGAGACAATTGGAGCACAGAAACAACTCCCGTATCATCACAAAATGAACACATCTGAGAGAGGTCTACCTGTAGTACCTACATATATAATAGCAAATCAATCATCACTTTTTACCAAAAATATTCACCAAAATTAGAGAATTGAAGATATCATCATGAAATTAACAAATCTAAGAGAGGTCCATCCAAGGTACATATACACCAATTATCAAAGCATTCAGGCTTGTAGATTTCAAGAAGAAGTCGAAAAAATATAAAGTTGACACGGACGACGTACGCCGATGGACAATCACTCATGTGATAAGCTCCACTTGACAAAGTCAACAGCAGAGCTAAAAAATACATTTGGTTATACATCTCTAGTTTGTAATGTATTTATTCCAGAGCACATCTGCAACAAATTTATTTTTAAATCTGATTTTTCTGAGAAATTGGCTAATTTATTTCAATTAGGTAATCAATATGTATTGTTTTCAACTCAACTTCTATGAATTACCCGAGAGCGTCTATGTACTAAGATTCATTAAAACAAGATGGGTTATTATTGGGCATCTCGGGTAACAATAAAAATAGACTAATTTATACAAACTCAACAAGAAATATACACAGAATTCAACCAGAAATTAGACAGGCCTGTTAGAATATTCCAGGATTGATCTCGAAATATCAGTTGAAACACTGAAAATGGCTAATTATGCAAATCAGGTTAATTAGTAAGCACAATTTCAATCTAAAATGAGTCAGGTCTTTTGCATTGTCGCAAGGCACCCACGTTTCAAATTGGATTGAAATGTGACGATTGGTTTTTGAGATAATGGTGGAACAGATATATATATATATATATATATATATATATACAGACAGACAGGGTAACCATAAAGACTCCAATTGTGTGCTTTGCACATGAGATCAAAAATAGAGAAATTTCAAAGCCTTATATATTCAATAAAAATTTCATATAAATGACAAAAAGTAAATATAAATCTAAAGTAATCAAACTTGTTTCCACAGTAACAATGACTTAGGGATTACCCCGGTACCCAGCATTAAACGTCATTTTGGCAGCCATTTTGAATTGAAAATGGTAAAATGCATACTACTTAAGTATACAATCCAGGCTCAGGTTTGTTTTTTTTTAAACTTAAAATACGGTGGAATAATTTATTTTCGCTGATATTTAATTTTTGCTGAAAGGCTTTTTGGGCGTTCTGTATGGAATTTATTTTCACTGATTTTTGATGAGTTTAATGTGAAATATAGAAAAAAAGTATATGCGCTGGATTTTATTTTCAAGGAATCACCCCTTCAGCGAAAATAGCGAAAATAAATTCCAAGCGAAAATAAAGTATTCTACAGTAGACAATCATAAAGTATTTAACAGTCTCATCAGATTTGCTTCACTTTTACTTTAATGGGTGTTGTGTTCAAAAAATGTAAGTAAAAATTGTAGTCACCATACTACTTTTCACACACAAGATTAGGTCAGCAATTTTTCTATGAAGAAATCACGTGTATATTTTGGTTGTCGGGAATTATTTTGACAATTAATATTTATTTATTTTAAATTGATCCTAAAATATCCCTTTTAAGTTTTTTCAGTTAAAATAATTTTGTGATTGGTAAAAAAAAATTAATTAATTAATAATTTATTAAGTAAGAGATCAATTTTGCAACTAATATCTCTTTACATTTCAGACTAAATTAATGGACTACACAGGTAACAATTAAAACTAATGAGACGGCAGATGGTGTACGGTACAAGCTGATTTTGAGATATGAATAAATAAGTTGATGATTGAAGTGAAAGATTAAACTCAAGTCTGCAGGATATGTTGGCCTGAGATATTTAAGCAGCGTTCTTCCTAGCTTTGTACCCGAGCTAGTCGGCTAATATGTATACGACTGGATCACATTTGCGTAGATCAGAATTCTCATTACATTACGCATAATTAGCATAACAATGCTCCTATTGGTTACTTGAAAATTCAAGTATGGTGGGATGTCACCGTGCCGGGAAAAAAATTGGTAGATTACAGAGAACAATTTTGCACTGTTTAGTGCTATTACTGAGCTTTTATTTAAATTTCTCATCACAACATCTCGACAGCTTGTTGTTCTGACCTCTACACACAAGCACTGAAGAGTCAAGGAGACGCATAAAGAGCCTTAGTTAAATTAAATTTTTATGAGACAACTAGACTAATTTGTAAGTCACCAAAAATAGCTGTGTTGACATGGAAAGCATACAGAAAGAAACCATCAAGTTTCTCTTATGTGCATCTAGAGGGCAGTATGACCAGCAAATGCACATGCCGAGCTAGTACTGTATTGGGCTCAATTTTCAGATTTTTTTGTTTTCTCTGATAGCTAAATGTGCTAAATTCAAATTCAAAATTAGAATGTATTATTTCCTTCACCTTTCAGTGAATTTAAAACCTAGTGTACATCACTGCAACATCAAATTCAACAAAATTGAAACATGAAATAATTTTTCCATATAAATTTAATGAAAATTAATCAGTTTTAACAGTGAATCAGCCATAGAAATAGCATCTTAAGATGAATAAAACAGCACCCTCTATTGACCAAAATTGGGAAGAGCTTAAAATAAGCACAACGGGTTATTAACAAACAAGTCACATAACTTTTGTGAAGTGATAAGATCTTGAAAGTGGGAACAACATTTGTAAATGTTATTTTAGGGATATCATGAAGACATTGCATGCTTGGACTTCATTGGTCTATTTCGTGATATTCATTCTATGATTACTTGACCTTGACTTTCCAGAATGCAGAATACATTTTACAGTTAATTGCACAAAAACAATGTACCGAGAAGTGCACATAAACCCCCAAATTGTATTTACCCCCGGTATTGTATCTTGAGTCATTAAAATACGACTTATTTTTACCAAAGCCACGCTAAAAAATACTGCAAACATAAACATGTACTGAGAATAAACCCCAGAAAAAGAATCGACAAACAAACTCATAACAGACGAGACTATGCTGGCCATTTACTCATTTTTAGTTTGTTCCACAGGGTTGTGGCAGATACTTTTACCGTAATGGTTTCGTTGGAGTATGAAAAAGCATTCTGTGCATCTTGATCACAAATGGGACCCCTTCTTGTCGCTAATAGAGTCTAAGGTAAACACAATCCTTGGCAAAGTTTCCTTCCAACAAAAGACAGTGACTGCTAATAGCAATGTGGAACCACTCACATTCATTCTGTATTTTCCTGTTCATCCACTTCTATCTCTTCTGATAATAACTCTTCTAATTTCTTTCTTGCCTCCACTACTTTGTCTTCTTGTTTTTTGATGTCTGCGTCAGTCACGACAAATCTGGGACAAAGTGGCTGATCTGTATTGAGGTACACCCCTGGGTTCTTCTCAATTGCAGACTACAATACAAGAATACAATGTATGGAAACAATGCGATTTTCAGTCTAATTTATTCCAGTGCATCTCTTCCAAAAGTTCAATTTAAGTCTGATTTATTGAAATATTAGAAATTGGCTAATTAGATAGTAATTATGCATATTTTTCAACATTAAACTAATCACGTATGTGGATTAACCCAGAGAATCTATGAACCTAATTTCAATAACATGCACATTACGCAAATCAGGCAATAGTATGCTTGAATTTCACCCCAATCTTAACCAGGTCTTCAGCATTGACCAGAGACACCTATATACCAAGCCTTGTTTAAATGCAATAAAGTAATTAAAATGCATGGATTTTTATCCAAACTATGTGTCAAGTATCTATGTACCAACGAGTGGTTCAACTCCCAATAAAGCTCTATAAAGGTACCTACGGTATATGTTTGCGGTCAAAAAAACAACAGACAATCATTAATATGATTAGCTCAGCTCGACAAAGCCAACAGCAGAGCTAAAGTGCATTCAAGGTGTTAATTTTTAATTTCTTACCTGCGTAGCTGTCTGTCCTGTGACTGGCTGTGTACTTAGATGTAAATTTGTTGCTAAACTCTGGAGCAGAGATTCATTTGTGTAGCCTGGGCCAAGACCTGGAAAAAAAAAAACAGGATGATTTTTACCACAAATATACCAGCAAAATAGAAAGAATTTAATTATCAGACAACCAACCTAAACAGTCTGTCATGCATATTGTTTAAGGTGTTGGATCAGCTTAATTCTATATGCTATGCACACATTGCTCAGTTGTATTGACATTGACACCATCGAAGTTTACCGAACACCAGATAACACTGAACACTTCTTCGGAAATTGGGTATTTTCTTCGTAAAACGTTTTCAAAACAAAATGACATGCGATCAGGACATTTTGACCTTTGCAGCTGTGTAAGATTTTTTTAAAGAATCGACCAGCATTTAGTAACAGAATGTCTATATACATCAAATAGTTTTTGAATATATAATGAGCAACTTTGAAACAATATTTCTCGTTGTTGCGGATTTTGCTGTGCTTTGAGCGATCATACCACCTTGTGTGTCAACAGTTTTTGTGTTCTGGGGTGCCGAAACATGGGATAGCTGGTGTCATATACATGATATCTCTCAGCGTATCAGCGTAACCTATTAGCGGTAAAAACGGGGGGCATTTTATTTTTGACGCATTCGATTTTATAGTATGTGGGATTCTCTTCGGCGATGTCCTCGTTAAATTGTTAACCTGAAATAGCTTCCCAGTCATAACTATCGTGCTCAGATTCGCTAAATTCGTTTGTAAATGCTATTTTCTTATAACAAAAAGTTAAGTTTTCTGCTGTAGAAAATTGATAATATTATTGTGAATTTTCTTTTAAGTTGTTACAATATATTGGGTCAAGTTAAGGAAGAGAAAGACAGTAATCCTGGTCTAGATATGCTTTGTTAGTAAAATGATGAATTTCAATATCAAGTTCAAGAAAATTTTTGGCACATACCAAACATGAGAACACAAGTCATTGTCAATAACACGTCCCCGTTCCGTTCATATTTGAGTGACATATACATTCAAAGCAGATCATGACCGAAATGCACCTGCATATGTACAACACATTGTGCTAAATCTGAACAAAATCCATCCATGCATGACTGAGATCCGGTTCTGGAATTGTGAAAATACGTGATTTTGATGCATTTTCGGCCTTAAAATGGCCATCATTCCGCTATTGTTAAGCAGATCATGAAACAAATGCACATATCTATTTGTGACATGATGTACCATGTGTGTGTGAAGTTTGAACTTGATCAATCCAGACATGTCTTGGATACGGATCCAGAACTGAATTCTTTAAAACAAAATGGCCGCCAGTCAGCTATTTTGAACTTGATCCGAAAAAAAAAAATGACGTGCATCAAGGTCCTATTATGTTTAATGTATGCAGTGTTCTCCCCAAAGCGTTTTAGCGTAGCGGGGCCGCTACTCCATTATTTATGCCGCTACTCTGAGAGATTGCCCGCTACTCTGTGGCATTTCCTGTTACTCTTTCTTTTAGCTTGTTAATACACGTGCGAATCTGTTAGTCAGCGTCATCAGCGTCCGGTACTGTGAGCCAAATCAGGTGTGAATGGAAACATGTCAGTGATTACGCAAAGACAATGGACTAATACAGCTTCGTACTTCGACAATAAACACTTTCGCCCTATTTAATTGGGGTAATAGCGAGTATTTTCTCAGTAGCATATTTGGCTGGAAGAAGCAACGATGTCAAAC